ATAGGCATTTTATATGTTTTTAACTTTTTTAATCCTATAGAATAAAAATAAACAAACATTTTAGTTTATCAAGTCAACGCGAGATTAAAATATCAGTTAATTTAATGTTATTTTTTTGTATTTATTTTTTGTGATTTTAATGCTTAAAAAAAGTTCAAGCTATCGCTGAAATTATTTTATAGGTATCATCTCTTTTTTCTTTCACATTTTTTTTTGGAAATTATGTTTTTTCATATTTACATGGTGAATCAGAAGCACAAAATTCACATTTTTGTTATGGGTCATTTTTCAAAAAAAATTTCAAACAGGTCGATTTTATTTTTATAATTGCTACATTTAACCAATATTGTAACATTTATGACGTCATTGGATTTTGAGTAACGACATCAATATTATTTTTTTAAATGGCAACAATTTTGTTAACTATTTTTGGTAATTCAATTTTTTTTTTAAAGAAAATATTACCAAAAACAGTAAACAAAAATGTTGGCTGCTAATAAAAAAATATTGATAACGCCGTTACTTAAAAATCATTGACGTTATAAATACATAAAAGTATAATGAAAATGTATTATTGACAAAAATAAAATCGACCTACAGAAAAAAATGTCCAATAAAATTATGAATTTTGTACGCTAGTTTTGGTTTCTACTATATTTGATGGCAAGTTAATAAAATAATACATGGGTATTATTTTTTATTATTTTGTGTTTTTTAAACAGTTATTTTTTGCATAATTATTAATTTTGCAATAATATTACACATTTTTTTAGAAATGTTAAGAATTTTTTTACAGAAGCACTTCCATTATCATAGTTTTAGCTTTAATTATGGTAATTTAAAGTAGGTACATTGCATTTTTATGACGATTTTATGATTTATTTTGAACTAATTTTAATCTGACCTAATCATAAATGCCAATTTACATAAATAATTTAGAAATGAGTTATAGTTATTTAACAGTCTGCAATTTTGAAACTGTTATTTATTTATATTTATTCCCAGTAGATTTTTAATAGATAATAACTCTAATATTGGCTTAAATTTAAATGAATATGAGTATTATGAATATAAATTGATGTATCAGAACAGAAAATTAATAAAAAAAATATTGTGTGTCAAGCGAAATACAATGAAAATGTATCCACAATGTGTCTTTTTTTGCCGCTCGTAAATCGCACCGACTTACTCCGGTTTATTTACCGTAGGAACGTGACATTTTTTAGTTGCGGTTTATCCTCCGGATCTCGGCTTTACAGTGTTTGTTATCAAATCGGCCATTGCAGTCTCTTATCGCTCATGTGTTGAGTAGAGTCAGGAGGCGCTACCCTGTATGCGCTTTTTTCATGGAGCTTTCGGTCACATTTGCGTCTGAAAGCATGTCAAGTGTCAATTTGGCGAGTTTTCCGGTTGCGTTTCCGGTGGGCTGTTGGTGAATTGGGGCGTGCGTCTTGGTGGCGGCTCCGCAACTCCTTCGGCCGCCCCTGTACGCGGGGAGGGGAGCGGAGTTCGGCGCAAGACTGTCTTTGCCGGTCAATACTCCACTAGCCGTTTACAGACTGGATTTCTGTACACGGTCTCCGACGACGAGGCAGTCGCGCGCGTGTGTGTGCTCTATCTCTGACACATGTGTACTTGTGGCAGACATTTACCATAATCTCACGATTTTGCTAAACTTTTCGACTGTATACCGAGTGATCAGGGGACGATCGGCGCTGATATGTGGTTGTTACGCTTACAACGTCACATGGAAGACCTGTAGACGCGACATGAAGAAGAAATCTTTGTTGCTTTCTTTTTGGATATTTTCGTTTACAGTCGGTAAGTCGAAAAGACGAGACCGGGGTTTGGGTGGAAAGAAAGGGGTCCTGAGTGGAGCCATGAGGCGCGCCGGCTTATTACACTATAAACAAACGCAAGGGCGGTTGCGTTTGCCGCACGAAAAGTATAAATTATTTATGAAGAAGAGGGCATATGTCAGCTCGGTTTATTGCCCAATCGAATGTTTTATGCCTTCCACATCCAGTGTCAATTTAATTATGTTAAGCGACTTTCAATCAATTGAGACATTCTTTGATGCTGTAATCACTAATCCTACAAGGAAATAATTAACGTGCTTCGCACCTGCGAGACCTTTAAAAGTGGAAAAATCGTTTCGTGCGGTCAAAGCACCAGTTCATTGCTCAGAGCTTTTGGATAATTTCTCCAGAGCTTTCAAGTTTTTGCCCACTGTGCTTGACTGACACTTCCTAATGTATGTAGACAAGCAAAGCACGATTTAATTGTATCTCGTATCAATACGGAGCTTTTTGGGTTGCTGTTGAGTTTTGAAAGGTCGCTTTTGGCACCCCTTCAATTGCAAGAATTTTGATGAAAAAAAATTGGAAAAGTCATTCTTGATTCCCCTAACTGAATGCCTGCACTATGAATCATCGTTCATGATGTATGAGCAAGTGAATGGGGCAATGAGTTCTTCGGGTGCATTTATGATCATTATCTGTGCAGATGTTACAAAAGCTAGAGCTTTTGCACTATTGTTAATTGAGAATTCCTGTCTAATTTTAAAAATGTAATGAATTAAACGTTGAAAGAAACACGTAGTAACTCATTTAGGTGAGGAAATTTGTTTGAGAAAAGTGTGAAAAGATCAAAGAGCTTTGAGGGAATGAGGGAGCATTTGTTGTTTCCTTGTCTTTTCACGAGCTTGTTGACCATTTAAAATTAGAAAGACACTGTTTTCAGGTAGCCTAATCAAAATTTTATTATCATATCTTCTTCTTTTGTTTGCATTGATTCTTGTAAACATATTAATAAAGATATTTGTTTATTTATAAATTATTCATGAATGAATTTTATCACGAATTTTTATTAGGAATGCGTGAAACATATCGGAAAGGGGCTTTGTCGTGTGTGAATAATTTATACGCAGAGCTTTTGCGTTGAGATATTTATTTGTGAATAAATACAATATAAAAACATAAAAGTTGCATAACTATAACTTGAGCTTGATTCATAAGTCGAATCGTCGACATGCTTGCTCAGTTATTTATATTGTATTCACATTTCTTGCGGTAGGTAAGTTACGTATCACATGACATACAAAAATAAACTCGTGTGTTAAAGAATCTCTAAGATGCTTTTCTTTGATGAGAGCAATTTTCTTGCTCTTGTACCTAGTGATGCACAAACAAGATTTTGTTGTTTCATGAAAAGCCAGTGTCGAGCAAAAGTTTTACTGCTTATGTATGCACAATAAAATAAAAAGTCGGTGTTAAACCACAACACTATAAAAGTCACAGCAACTACTGAAAATGCAAATCATTTATGTTAACAAGTGATTTATATTTAATGTACGATTACAATCGCAAATTTACCTAAATCAATAAACAGAGATTAAATTATCATTCGGTTTAAGTGTATTACCATTAAATTGTATCGGGCAGTGTGGTTATTTATGAGCAAAGTTGCTAAAATGTGGCTCAATTAAGGCCAAGGCATAAATTTGAGTTTAACTGATCAAGAGATTACATGAAAGCTTAATGGACGAGTTTTTGGTATTAGCCTTCACCTTATGACAAATATTTTCCGTCACAAATCACAGGATTTTATTTAATAACAAGAAAAACTTTAATTATTGGTCTAGGAAAGTTTTTTGATATTTGTCATTTTATCAGATTGACTGCAGTAAGGATTATGAACGAAATGTGTTTTGGAAGTGATAAATTTTATAATTTAAATTTTAGCTTTGTTGGTTTTCAATTTTGAGTATTTTGTTACAATTTCCTTTTTCGTACGATTTTCCCTTTGAAGTGTTCTATAAAATGTTTACAGAGAAGATAATAAGGTTTCATTTTTTATTAGCTCATCATACTAAAAAAACAAAAAATAATCAACTCAGTTCATTTGGGAATTCGGTTATAAAGGAGGAAAGAAAATCCGTGAAAGACAACTGTAACGAGCTTTCTGTGGTAAATTGTGTATTCCTAATACTATATTTTTAAATCTCTTTTGAATTAGTAGTAATCTTGGGTCACGAAATAAATACGATTACTAATAGTACCTAATGTAAGCGACTGAAGATTTATCTCTCCTGACAACAGTATTTAAAAAATTAAAAATTAGTGTTACACAAATAGAGATAACAGAAACCAGGAAACAAGCAATAAAATATGTTAAAGAATTTTGAAAAGGAGTGCTTCAGTTGTAGATCAAAAAATGTGTTATTACGCTGATTGGATGCGGTGGTATCGATTTTATTGCATGTGATTACATGCATCGTTTGTGAAGATAACATTTAATTGATTTGATAATAATAAGCCGCTTTCGCATTCGGAGCAAGAATAGATAAAATGCAAATATTTATGTCTGGCGTTTCTTTTTTGCATATTTACGCCCTGTTTCGAGGGTGAAATTACTTAATGCAACTTTTATCCAGAAGTGGATACTAAAAACACCGTTAAAAAACAAACGTCGCCGTATATTTCCAGCCTGAGGCCGTCTGCTCCAGATAACGAAGAAATAAGACAAGATAAAACAAGTCGGAATAATTAATTCTAACCGAGCTAATGGACCTATAAACTTGCTCAAAAGATTTTTCAACAATTTACAGGAAATGATAATTATTTCGATAAGAATTCTGTGAAACGTCAATGGATTACTAATGCTAATAGCCACAAATGAGAGTCAAGTGGGTTCCCTCCAAACTTGGGGGTGTGCGAACAAAACGCAACGATTGCTGTGTCTCCTTTGTTGCATTTTTTACAAAGGAAAGATAACCAATTCAGGCACGTAACGCTGCGGTTGGCTTCGTCATTTTCTCGAAATTTTCCATTTTAATAAAAAAATGGCCGCGTCGTCCGCATGAATAAATTTTGTCATGTAAATTACATTCCGGGCTTTGTTCCAAAGCCAGAAATTGATTCGTCGTGACGTCATTCGTCAAAATAAGGGACGACCTCCGATTCGGGGATTCCCTGGCTCTATAAAACATGCGTGTCGTACATAATAAAACTGGTACGTAAAAATACGCATAATCCCTAGAGACTTGCGACGCGTAAGCATAAAAGAGCCTTTATTCACATCTGCGTTCCCACTCAACTGACTCAATCCTTAACATTGTAAACAGTGTTTGAGGAATGTACTTTTTTCTACAAAGATTTTATGAAAACGAATTGGAAAGAAGTGTTTACAGGTGAAATTTGTTTCTGCAGGCATCAGTGAAGGGTTTATGGGGCGAATATGGAAATAGACTAGACGGTTTGAGGAAATACAAAACAAGGACAAGACAAATGGATTTTTTGGTTTTATCGTGGCGCAGAAACTATTAACTGGATTTCTTTTTTGTTTTCTCAGATCTGTTACCACAAAGACACGTTTTTTGGGGAGGAAATGACAATTCATATAGGAGTAACTCAATATAGAGGACAGAATGAAGGAAAATGTCTATTTGTATTTCTAGGGAGAAAATGTATGTGACGTTTGGACGACACCAGATAAGTAAACAAGGACAAAATTGCAAATACAAAATATGAGAGCGACATAAAAAAATTACAGAATAGTTAATGTATTTGCTTGTCCACCAAAATACTTTTTTAATGCTGTTTCCATACTGGACAAAGACACATTGTGCAATTTTCGTTAATCAAATAAAAACATAAAATAACAGGTATAGAATGCTGTATGTATCGACTAAAAATGAAAATTTTTTTTTAACTTTTTTATTTTTAAATTGCTTATAACAAAATTTTTGGCAAAACGTTTTTTTTTTGTGCTTTAAATAGCCGCTAAGGAAGAATGATGTATAACACGATGGGGTACATCTGTTTTTACTAATGATTCTACTTTTAATTAAACTGGAAACTTGGTACAAAGAATAATTAATGACTTCTTGTTAGAAATTACATATGATATTTTTAGACCTGACACAAAATAGGTGGGCGTATTTCAGTGATTAATGTATCCATTTTTGAAATTGTTTTTTTACAGGTTATTGAATTAATTTCTAATTAGCCGTTCTTAAACTGATCTAATTTGTTATTAAATAAACCGGCTTTTAAAGGGAAGCTTATTGATTCTAAAAAGCTGTTTCATTTAGTGAAAATGGAGCTTCTAATTACGTTGAAAAGGGAATTCTCAAATAAGTCAAATAACATTTTGTCCAATAAAAGGTTTGGAATGTTGTTGTAATAAAATACGCTATAAAATTGTATCGTGATATGTCTGATGTCTCAACTACCAGACCAAAAGTAATAGTTCATTGTTTCTCGAAACCAGAGATTCGAAGTAAATTCGATTTTATTGAAAGCGCAATTGAAAGAAACGTGAACATTTTGGTGGCGTTGCTCTAAAATGTTCTAAAATTGTCTTTAGAAGTGGAGCAACTTAGGTACCTAACATTGTTTTATTTATGTATAAATATTGAAGGCGTAAACACTTGTTAGAAGTGATATCCATTTATAAAAAATATAAAAATAATTGAGTCGATTTCATAGCTGATATGGTTGGGCATTCATCTCGGCGCCCACGTAAAAATACCGAAAAAATATTTCTCGACGTTGTTGAACTTGTGAACACATTTATCTCCCCTTGGGTGTAGCTAGAAGAGCTGTATTTTTTCGATATTTCTTATTTGGGAGCAATAAAAATCTCCTCGCTGCTGTCAAAATTGTTTTTACGTTTAATTTTGTTTATTGATGGTAGAGTAGAATAATTTTTTCTGAAAGCATGATTAGAGTCACTTTGCGGCTTTTGAAAAGTCTTGACAATTCCGGTTGTTCTTTTCGGTTTAATCGCCTCGCCCTTGCTTCCGGAGCACGTATAAT